GTTTTGGAAAGGAGGCTGTACACTCCTGGTGGCTGGCCTTATGTACAGTTGTTTGTTTTTGCCACCCTGTTATCTGTTGGTTGTGTGGTACTTGCGTTTTCAACTAGTTTTGCATGGGGGTGCGGCTATAACTTGTGTGTTGAGCATCGAGTCCAGTTTGTACCATATCAAGTCTGCATGAGCAGTATATAGCTATGTGTTCTAGTAAATGTTTCTCTCCTACCTTCTCCAGTGTCCTCTGATTACTAAGTTTGTGTATGTATTGTACACGTTAAGCATTTATATTGGCTAACTTTGAAAACTTTCCTACTCTAGCTCACTAATGGTTAAATAAAAGGACACTTAGCATTGTGACTTGATATTGGTAGAAACGGGTTCATTGCCTTTAAGGTGTTTTACTTTGTTATCTAATCTAGAATTAAAATGGAATAGCAATCAACAGTAGCATTTGCACCTTTATATATCCATCACTTTCCAGTCCTATTGTTTATTATTTCATGACAGATTTGTTTCATTGATTCTTTTGAAATTCCTTTTGATCTTGAGAAATTTGATGTTGTGGAATTTCAATGATTCAGCATTTGATCATTATGGCTTTTGCATGTTTCAATGAAAGGTATTTGGCAAAATTAAAAACGAAACTTGTGAAATTTGTTATAAACGTGCAAATGAAATAATAAAACTTGTTGGTTGTAAATGTTCTTACTTAATACTAAACGACACACCGCAGTAATGTACCAAGATAACAAGGTGGTAGGCTGTGTGATATCCGTGTTACGTAGTCATGTATATATATACTGATGTGGCATATTGCTTCAATACCTTGTGTAGACTCCATGTCTTAACCTTAAACCTGAGCTGAGTTGCCCAATCGCTTCGACATGTTTAATTTTATACTTGTTTGAGAAATATAATCATTTAAATTGTCTTCTGCTTTATCATGTGGTGATGGTCAGTGGTTCAATGTTATTTCTTGAATGAAAATTACCTTGGTCAAAATCTGCCAAATTAATATGGTCAGTGCAGAATGGTTAAGGCCGTTACTAGTAACAGGTCTTCTTTGATGCCTTTACAATACATTAAGTTCCAAATGCAGCTTTCCTTTTCTCCAAAAATGATCAAGGTATTACACAAAAATGTTTAACCCTTTCACCACTGTAGACCATGATAGACTCATCAGATCAATGTATGGTAGAGTCTACTAAAGTTACATAGGGGTGAAAGGGTTAAGTTAAACAAGGCCAGAGAACATGATAGAGGGAAGATAAATAAAAGCTATTTCAAACTTAGTGAATAATGATATATAGTATAGAAAGTGTCATCATATTTATAATAAGAAATTTACAATATTAATAAAGATATCTATTATTAATGAAAATAGTAAGCTTTTAAGCAGGAAATAAATGAATCAATGTTATGGCATCTTCTTAGAGAAATTTAATCATTATAAGATTTGGTAAAGGATTAAGATAAAAGTAATTTAATATATTTGATAATATTACTGAAATCAGCCTGTGTAACTGGTTATCTAACCAGCTATGTGATTGCTTCCAGCATCTTTCCCGAATGCCTTCGGTAGCCAGACAGCACAGCAGCTGCAGCAGGTGGCTAACTCACCGGCAGGCAAACAAACTGAAGGTGAGTGATCTTTTATTTGTTACTGCCCTTTTGTTGTAATTATAACTCTTGATTAATGTCCATGGGATTACATAAAAGGTCATAATCCCTATCTACAGTCATAATGAACTAACTTTATCAGCCGAGATTGTCAGTAATGTAACAACTTGGTGGAGGCCGGTGGAAAAAGCATGAAATATATTAATTTGTTCAAAATGATTTTTCTTGAGTTTCACTGACAATAGTGCTGTCAAATGCCAACTAGATACAATACTGTATAATAATGATCAGATGCCTTCATTAGCTCACCTGGCACGAAGTGCCAAGTGATCTTATGCCGTGGCGCGTCGGCCGTCGTCCGTCGTCTGGCGTCAATATTTTACTTTAAACGACTTCTTCTTAATAACCCAAAGGCTTAGGGTATCGATATTTGGCCAGAAGCAAACTGGGATGAAGGTCTACAAAGTTTGTTAAAATAAATGACCTTCACCCATTTTCAAGGTCACAGGGGTCAAATATGATAAAAACTTTAAACATCTTCTTCTCGATAACCAAACTGCCCAGGGAGATGATATTTGGTCAGTAGCATGCTTGGGTGGAGAGCTACCAAGTTTGTTCAAATGAATGACCTTCAATTATATTCCAGGTAACAGTGGTCAATTGTCTTAAAACAACCTTTAAACAACTTCTTCTGAATAACCAAAATGCCAAGGGTGGTGATGTTTTGCCAGTAGCATGCTGGGGTAAAGGGCGATCAAGTTTGGTCAAATGCATGACTGTGACTTATGTTCAAGGTCACAGGGGTCAAATATGTTAAAAACTTTAAACATCTTCTTCTGAATAACCAAAATGCCAAGGGTGATGATGTTTTGCCAGTAGCATGCTGGGGTAAAGGGCGATCAAGTTTGTTCAAATGCATGACTGTGACTTATATTCAAGGTCACAGGGGTTAAATTTGTTTAAAATCTTTAAACAACCTCTTCTTAATAACCATGGGTCCCAGGATGTTGATACTTTGCAAGTTGCATCCTGAGATGAATGGCTATAAACTTTGTTCGACTTTCAATCACAGGGGTGAAATGTTTTAAAAAAAATAATGGTCTTTTGAATGAATTTTAATCATAAATACTGATATTTTGCCTGTAGCTTTATTTTAGATCCCTTTTAAGGTTACAAGTGTGAGATTTATACCAGGTGAGCGATGCAGGCCCATTGGGCCTCTTGTTTTGAAATCATGTTGATGTAGAAAATTGAAACAGATTGAATTGTCTCCATTTACGTATGAAGTTAATTGTGCATTTCAAAGAATCGCTTAAAAACCATTTTCACACTGTGCTTCTGAAGGATAGTGTTATATTGTAAAATTTAGAAATAGCTGCTATAAGGTAGTGTTATTTACTAATTAATACTGAGAAATAGTGAGAATCATGGGTTTAGATGTTTATAACAGAACTCTCATAATGAAGTTTACATATATGTATTTGTATATATATAAATGTGGATACTGGAGTGTGCTATGTTATGTTGGGCATTAATACCTTGTCATGTGTATTGTGTTGATGACTGTACTGTTGTAGATATTGTGTTGTTTGATTATCATTTGTACCATATTTCCTTGAATAGAAGCTGTCTCAAGAAAACTGAAGACCGGCCTCTATTCAAGGAATGAGGGTAAATACAAGTTACTACTAACTCGTTCTTATGTATAGCAGGCAGACTTTTATTTCTCCATGAAACTGACAAGAAAGCTTATCCGATTGGTCACAATGTATAGAAACTTTAACCAATTATTAAGCTACTTGAAACACTGCCTTTTAAAATATAACAAGACACTTCTGAAGTCTTAACACTTTACTAACATCTATGACAATGAAATTATTATGTAAAAAAATCATTCTGTATTCCATGACCAAGAATAAAAACTCATGAAGTCTTATTTAAGGCATGTTTTAACTTTTTTCCAAAAGGGAAGTTTTTTAGAGGCAAAATAAGAATATTGGAATAAATTGTTTTCACCTGATTTCTGTGTTTAAAACTATCTCTGTGAGAATGTCGAATGTAGTCCTGTAGTACAGAATGTGTCTCTTTAATAAAAAGTGCTTTATTCTGCTTTTCTCTTGCTGCTCTAGGTCCTGACGGCATGCATATCTATCATCTCTTCACATTCATCTTTGTATAATCTCATTTCTTCCTTCAATAGCATATTTCTGACGATGATTCACCACATTGCATGGCCTTTTACTTGTCTTAGGCAGATCCGGTGGGCCAGTGATGTGTTTCTATCATTCAGACACACCTCATTAATCATTATTAGAAAATTAGAAATAATTTCAAAATTAGATTGCCTATTTCTTTTATTTTTTACAAGTTTTTCATTTTGATTCAAACTTTTTTCTCCTTAATTTCAAAGCTTTTGTGCTTAAATCATATATAAAAATCTATTACTTTTATCCTATATGCTAATTAACTTTTCAAAACAACTGACAAGTATTGCATAGAATGTAACTGACAAATATTGCATAGAATGTAACTGACAAATATCGCATAGAATGTAACTGACAAGTATTGCATAGAATGTAATTGACAAGTATTGCATAGAATGTAACTGACAAATATTGCATAGAATGTAACTAACTGACAGATATTGCATAGAATGTAACTGACAAGTATTGGATAGAATGTAACTGACAAATATTGCATAGAATGTAACTGACAAATATTGGATAGATCCTAAAACACTTCACAAAATCATGATTTTTTTCCACAAATGTCTAAGTTCATACATTTATATTTAAATGAGACCTTCATTGTTAATATCTGGATTTCTTCCTAGAGCAAAAGGACAGGACACATTTCTCTACACAAACTTGTTCAAAGTTGTGTGAATCTGACTTTTGTATTCAACAGTGTATCTACATGAAGCACTGGGCCAGTCATGTTTTGTTCTGTGAAGTGTCCTGCCCTGTGTTAGTCCTAATAAAACTGTGATGTTATGCCCTACAACCTTGTGTCCTTGCTGTGTTCACAGGTCCAGAAGGTGCTAACTTGTTCATTTACCACCTACCTCAGGAATTCAGTGACCAAGACCTAATGCAGACCTTTCTGCCCTTCGGATCAGTGATTTCTGCTAAAGTCTTCATTGATAAGCAGACAAACCTCAGCAAGTGCTTTGGTGAGTCTTAGCAATACAGTGATACAGAGTGTTAAAGATGTACCATGGATCTGTGCTAATTCAGTCTTTATTAATCCACGAAAAAGGTTTCAACATGTACTTTTGTCTTTAGAAATATTTACAAAGTGATCTTATTGTGAGAGTCAAACTGGTCTTATTAATGTCTGAAACAATGTTTATAAAGTCATTATACCCGAATTCTGTTGCTGATTGTCAAATTTCATATTTCGTAAAGTTTTCTGTCAGGAACCAATAAGAACTAACACTGCTCCACTGTATGTCTTCAATTCTCTATATATTCCAGAAATGTTTCATTTGAAAGATTTTTATATACTCGGATCTACTCTTGAAAAGATTGTTTTTTGTGTCTTCAGTGTTATGTATTTTTCTGTAATGTTTTGCGTCGTATGTTTCGTGTCAAAGGTACAAACTGTCTGTGGTGTTCTTGTTCTATATGTGGGTTGCGTATCATGTGTTTACAGGATTTGTGAGTTACGACAACTCTGTCTCGGCCCATGCTGCCATTCAGGCCATGAATGGGTTCCAGATTGGAATGAAGAGGCTGAAGGTGCAGCTCAAACGACCAAAGAATGACAGCAAGCCGTACTGAACTTGTCCGACTGTTGTAAGTTTTCACCTTCTCTCTACATTCTAGACACTTCCGACACACTCTTAGCACTGCCCACTGGTCAAAAATCTAATTTTGAAAAAAATGTGGACAATGACAACAATAACAACGAAACAAAAAGATTTTTTGGGGTTGTTTGAAAAAAGTTGTTGAAGAAATCGAGAGAAAGAAGATCTAAGATTCGTAGACTGTAACAGTGGGCAATGTAAGAAATTTGACAGAAGTTTATACTCCTATCTCAATTACATGTCAAAGGTAGGTGATCGCATTATGATATACTATTACAAAGGCAATACGTCGGCAATGACTGCATTCAAAATTTACATAATCAAGAACCTTCAAATAACGGAGTTAATGGAACTTTCTCAGCAAAAATAGAATATTGTATGGATAGATTTTCATCTTGGTGTGGAAAATTAATGTTTGATCTAAAAGAAGTATTCTTAGGAATGGTGGGTCAACTGATAAGCCAAAAGTTCTTGAGAAAGGTAGGTTTCCTAGAGGTCCATATCTGAATCTACGATAGGAGACGAGGTAGGTAAAGGTAGGTTTTCTATATTTTTTGTGTCATGTGACCGGCCAATAGTCAGGGAGACCGGACCGCTCGACAGTGTTTGTTCTGGCTACAAGGGGAGGTGACTGGTGCAAGATGGCGGCTTTGCTGGAGGAGATGGTTTTAAGTTGTCTTATGACGTTTAATATTTGCCGAGGTTTAATACTGGTGTTTAAGAGGCTTTGGACTGTAGGTGTAGTGTGTATGTGGTGTAACCTGTGTCTTGTACCTGTGTGCATGCTCTCGTGTCACAAATACACTGGCTTAATGTGCACACCTATTCACTTAGCTACATGTGTACTGTAGATTGTATCAGAAATTTCTCCCATAACTACTTTGACAAAACTTGATAAATACTGGATTTTAAATTTTGAAGACATAATATTGATTGTGGAATTGCTTTTTGTTCATGACCTTTCTGAAATCCGAATAATAGTCCTACGCCATGTTAAATCACATTTTATTTTGTTTTGGCTGTCAGTTTGATCTGTTATAATAAATAATGTTTTTTGAAAGATAATTTTTGTCTCGGTTATGGGAGAAAATCATCCTGACTTGCGATAATTAGGAAGTCACTCTCTCATTATCATGTAAACAACTTCATGTTGGGCAGCAAGAAAAAGTTGATTACATGATTACAATTAAATACACATTTGGATAAAATTCGGGGTTCTCCAGAAATAAATGTATTGAGTGAAGGCGAAAGGGAGCCATTTTTTGTTGCCCACACCATCACCATTTGTTTGTCTGGGGCCCACTACACAAGAGAGCCCTCCACTTTCCCTCAGTATATTCTTATCTGGAATAACTCAAACTCCTCATTGCGGACTGCGTCTTCTATATCCCTCAGTGTTTTGTGTATTTGAACTCTCACTCTAGACATCTGTATGATGGGGAACAAATACACATTTTTTTCATTTCCATCTAGGATAAAACTGACTGAATTCTGAGCTATTCACAGAATATTTTGATCACATCTAAGGTGAGGAGCTGTTATTATGGAAAAAAATATTATTGCAAATGAACTGAACTTAATGGTAGCTGAGGATTTGAGGTACTTTCTTCCATACAGGACAGCTGTTTGTTCCCCTTCAATGTGTGCTTGTACTAACAACCTAATAGTAGCTGGGGTGGGGGTCAGAGGCCAAGATTGGGACTTAATGCCTGAAGTCCCCTACAAACAACATGTCACTATACATTTTGTGATGTTGAATACCCATGCTGTGTATTTCTCACTATTTGTTGTGCTAGTTTGTGTCACCATGACCCCCTGTTCTGTCATTTCATTTTCCTTCATTTTGTTTTGTGAGGCTCTGCTTGACCCTTTTCTGAACTATTTTTGAAGTTAATTCTCTACTGTTACAACCACTTGATGAAACTCCCCACTTGAACTATTGATATTGTAAATCTGAGTGTTATGCATGTCTCTTAAGGTGTTGTGTAGATCAATACTAAAGGATTTCACTGAAAGTTTTAATTTTGCTACTTACCTACAACAATAAAGTCAAGTAACTTCTATCTGGATGCAAGAAGCTGTTTTCAGAAAACAACAAAATAACAAGTTTGGGTATGGGCATGAAGCATGTGGGTCTAAAATGTCCTTGCCAAACTAACAAAATATCTTATGTGTTGAAAGCCATGTTCAATGCACCCTAGCTTTGCCCTGTCCAATGAAGATTAGATTCGTATGTTAATCACTGGTATCGACCCGATTTCTACTGTATTTCAAGTATATAATCATTGAACTGTTAACAACTTGCATGGGTTAGCTTCTTCAGAAATAAGCTTCTTGTTATTTAAGAGTGTCAAGAACATTTGTGGCATTTCATATTATGGTCAAGTTAGCATTCAGCTGTGAGTAAGTGGTCTCTAATATAGCCCTGTTTGAATAAAGCTATGGAGCTCGTTGGTGCCTGTTTTAATGGTAGCTACTGAAGGTCTTGGATCTCTTGACTCACTAACAGAATTTGTATGTTGGTGTTTTGTCAGCCATTATGTTGGCAGTCCTTGTTCTTGTAAAATTGATGTTGTCTGATCAAATTCTGTAGGTGAAGGGGAAAGTTGGAGGGACACACAGATTCATTGTACAGTAAGAGATAGGCATGCAAACAAACCATATTGGATGGTCTGAGGAACAAAGTTATGTAATCTGTTTACTGGAGTCATTGTTCAGTAGATTTAATGCCATTGATTTGGAAATGTGAATATTAGTACTATTTTAACATTGCAACTTGTTTGGTGTGAATCACTTGTTTCTATTTATCAGTTACCTTGTACCACCCTTTTGTCCCCATATTTTAACAGTAGGTCTGGCTGACCTTTGTCTTGGGTGACACTTTGTAGGGATAGAAGGTTGGGAAATACTAATAACACTCAGATTGAAATATACAATGCCAATATGTATCGAGGAAGATTCATTCTGGCCAAACTTTGGATGTCAAAAAGGATGAGTTATCCAATGTTTTATTCAGATCTGTTAGAGAGGCATATTGCCCTAGGTTTCAGTTTCCTGAAGAATTTTTTTATCATAAAATCCATTAAAAAACAACACATTTTTTAGATGATTAAGTACATTTGTTTTCCTCCAGTATATGACATCCAAAGTTTGGGCATCAAAGCAAAATTAATCAAATTATGCCAATTGATTTTGAGAAAAACTTTGGTCAAGCAAGCCTATGTAAAGTTTTACAAACCATGGTAGCTGTGCCATGTATGTAAGCCTGCAAGCGAGTTATAATTAATTTCCTTTGCTTCTTTCTACGTAGATGACAACGTGGCGTTGACGTGAAGTGGTGTGTCCCCGTGTCCACGTGCCGTACGTCCTTCATGTTTACATAACTCATCGCTAGCCTGTATGATTGACAAAAACTTTAATGTCGCATAAATACGTAAGTGTCCCTCAGCAAACCACAGTCCATCCAGCTCCGTCTGTCTATGTCCGTCACGCCGGGCAAGTGGGCCCATGGTCAACACCGACACACATATATATATACTGTACACTTACAACTGTCGTCGTTTGTTGTCCTGTTCAAAGTTGATTACATGTGCAGGCTCCTGTAACCAAGTCACTGGGTTGCCATATATAATATTGGAAAAATTATAATTGTATGACATTGTACTGTAAAAAAAATATTGTCATTTTTTTTTTTAATTGTAAAGTATTATACTGTCAATTTAGATACATGTATATGTCGGTGTAAATATATAGTACAGTTTTGCTTTTAGATATAATCACATTAAAGTGCATGTATCGTATTTGTTATCGTCTTCAGTGTAAACATGACGAGAAATACCAAAGAAATATTGATTTAATCACTATGTCGACCGTGGCATCCAAATGGTGCCTGATGTTAAATTAACAGGATGCTCTATATCAAAAGCTATAGGCATCAGGATTTAACTCACCATAGCTTTGCATGCAATACAACTCATTATCTGTGCCTTTTGGACGAAACTCTTACCTCCATCCCTCCCCATCAGAGAACAGTGGTAGACACTTGTCATTAGATGGTAAAAGTCATTGCAAGTCTGTAGGGGTGGTGAGGTACATACACTCAATTAACATGTAGAATATATTACAGTAATCTCTTAGCATTATATGCAAACTGTTGGACTGCCATTTGTATCATTTGAATGTTGCCATTTATGATAATATTGAAGTTTTTTTTTAAATATTTAAAAAAAAATAGGAATAAAACTGGAATTTTCTATATTTAAAAAAAATAAAAATTTGATGCAGTTAACAATTTTATTCAAAATCATGAACAGGTTTATTGTAGAAGATATCGGGTATCTCAAGATTATCATAAACATCAGATTTATTCTGATTTGATCTCAAACATGATCTGATACATGTCAAACCAAAAAATAGATTCAAGTTTATATCGCATACCTAGAGTAGACTTCAGTAGTGAAAAGTTATGACAAGTATTAAGTGTATAAGGCATCAACTATCAAGTAGTAATGATTTGTGCGTAGCAATTTATACATAATGTACTTAGATTTTTGTAATAAAAAGTAGCCATGGAATTTAGGTTCCTCCATTCAATATCCTGTGAATTTCTCATTATCACATCTAACATTTAAATCATTTTCAACTTTCCTGAAACAGTTGGGATGTTTTTAGGGGTAATTTTAATACCAAATTAGGCAGTAACAGCTGTACCCAGTGCTTGCCATACATGTGCAGTAGCTCTATCCCTGTTGAATATTACCCACCCATGTGTTTCATAGTTTTGCTTAATTAAACTGAGTATTAAAAAGGTTTGTTTTGTCATAGAAGTATATGTCTAATTGAACAGTTTTGTGGAGTTTTTTCATGTCATTGTCGATGGTATTTGTAAGTTTGCATCATTCAGATGGATATACATAATATTACGAAGTAAGTTATTTTTTTTGTGTGGGTATATTCAGTGAAAAGAATTGTCAAAGAAAAACAATAAAAAAACGTGTTTGACAGTATAGATATTGTATTTAATATGGCAAAAAGTCTTGTCGGAGAATTTATGTTTATATAATTGCTTGTGATGGTTGTGGTAATGAGAGATGTAAGGAAATGTTAATCTGATGACGCGATTCTCTGCGTCTAGTTATGGCAGCCCAGTGGTTTGGTTCCATGGCTGTTTATCAAATATCTTGAACTAGTGCTTGTAAGCTTACTATATTGTAATGTGTAGTGCCAGGTGTTTGTTAAAAACGTTTCTCCATAAGTATGTTTTTTTGTGGTCATTGTTTGCAGTGTTATAAACAAAAATATTGTAAAGAACTATTTCCTCTTCATCTGTGTTGGAAGAGAGAGAGAGAAAAACATATATATATTGTTATGGTTTTGTTAAACGGTGTGAGAAGAATCAAAATGTGGTTATTTCTTTTCTTGTATAACCCGATTTCAATATTTTTTCTTCATTTTTTGTTTGGCAAGTATTGCACTTTGGTGAATGTTGATGTTTTGGTACACGGTTTTGTGTCTTGATATTTCAAATTATATATCATATATCATGTGAATGGTGAATAATGTTTTGATGTGAGTTTGATATTCAAACTAAAATCTGAATCTATAAATACTACTACTAAGTTGAGCTGTTTCTGGCTGGCAATCTCACTGACATTACTGTGTAGCATCGGGCACAGCACAAGATCCATGTGTGTTGTTTTCATTGTCTGTCTAGAGAAACCATAGCCTGCCATGTTTTGCCCAATGTTTTAAAGCATTTACCTTGATATTATTGACTGTTCATTTTAATTCCTCATTTAATAACTGCCTCTTAAAAAAACAACACCTTCACTTAAAAAAGTGGAATAAATATGTAGGTAATAATAGATAATACGAATCTAAAATTATTAAAGGGGAGATAACTGTTGGAAACAGAAAGCATTCCTTATAGAAGTGGAGCTATTTTCTGACCTGCTTTGGTACATCCTCAAGCTAGCTAGTGTCTTTGTTAAGCTATGTATACCTTCACAAGTTACTCCTCAGTTCAAGAGCAGTTCTGTCAGTCCTAATGGTTGGTTTGTTTGTGATAAATGCTTTAGACATTGAACCATTTACATGTTTCGTGTATAACTGTGTGTTCTAAGCACAGCTGTGATCGGAAATGACAATCGAATGTTTTTGTGTTATGTTCACTGCTGAACGTGATTCCTGTCGACCTGCCACTTGGTTTTCATCGTATTATTTATTACCTGTTCAAGGGATTCAATTTCTGATTTTCTCAGCAAGCATACTATCATAAATTTAGATATACATTTAGTACCGAGCTCTGAGTCTATTGAAAGGGAGAGAGGTAGAGAGAGGGAAAATGAACATTGTTATGTTTTAGCTTCATATCCATTCAGTATATACTCACACAGTGTAAAATCAAATCATTTGAAACTTAGCAATATTTAAGCTAATTAAAGATTGTAAATCAAAATGGCTACGAATCAAAATGGCAGGTTGCTGGATGTTTGTTTCTATCAGACATAAGTGCCTTATTCAGTACCATTTTCACACTGTTATTGATGTACTAACAGCCTGTAGACCTCGGATCACATTCATATTGAAAGGACCAAGCAGAATATAGCTAATCGTTTGTAACTAATATATATTATGGTAAAATTGTTGAGGAGAAAAATTTGTAACCTTGTATTTAAAACAATGATATCACGAGAAAAAAATGTAAATGTAGGCTGATAAATATTTTTTAAGCTCCAACATTCAGATGTTAAGTTTAAGATGAAGTTTTTTTTAAAAACTTGATTGACCGTTTGTAAATTTTCTGTGTTTGTCCGTGTTTGTTCATAGATAAACAAAACATTCTGTGATAACCAAGTCTTGACACAATAGAGAATTATCTTTGTCCAACAGGAGAATCCTTTGACTAGACATGTAGGTGTTTTGGGGATTTCTGTGGCTATATTTACGTAGAGGAGTCTCCTTAAAGATATATTTAGAAGCAAGGGGGAATCCCTGTTGTCTGTATATAGTGTTAGGGGATTCCTTTATGCTATATATAGGTATGCCAGTGAGATTGACTGCCAGTGATGCTGAAGGTACTCAGGAATACGTGTACAAAACTTGTGTTTGTCGGTGAAACTGTCCATGTATTCAGTAGTTACAATACTGTCGCAGACAGGAGTTAGTTCATATCTATCAGATAAGTGTTTAGTGTCCTCTAATAATTGATGGAGTCCGTTTTAATTACTTAAAAAGGTGATGTTGAGGAAATGTGAACGTCCGTATACTTAAAGGAAGCGTTTGTTCTCTTGGGAAAATACCAGTTTTTACCAGTTGTTTGTTTCTTACTTAAGGTGTGGTAAAGCAATATGTTTTTACTCTTCCACTGGGATCGGACCGCTTTCGGACTTGACGTCCATCGCAAACTGTCCGTCGCGGATCCGTCCTGTGGAAGGGTGATATAGAACACAGATAATTTTAACTTTTCAACCAGCAGTTCATATGGGGCTGTTTCATGTCATAGATCATTGGGAAAGACATCTTCCCTGCGGCCATTCAATACAACAAAAATAGACTTAAACTATCTTCTTTTTATATGATAGCATAATATTCCATAGTTCAATTTTGATAGTCACAGCCACATATGAAATTGTCATAGGTGAACAAAATTATTTCTGTTTAATACGTGTTCTGGTAGATAGGAATTTTTAAACACTGCATTAGGGCTACATCATAGGTCCAAATGCAACTGTACATGCAATCTGAATGTTTTATTTTGTTTCCAGATATTTTATATGAAAAATATTGACTTGTAAAAGGTATTGGAAAGATGTGTAGTATTTTATCCCTGTAATTGAGCGTTACATGTGCTTTGTGGTATGTTTAGAATCTATACCCTACCTTGTTACATGTTCCTGGTATTTTAAATAATTCTATTTGTAAAACCACACCTTGGTAGAAATTGTAAGCAAATTACTCAACAGAGCTGTACTTAAGGTAGATGTCCTTGAAATTTGTCATCAAAAATTGATCTCATAAATCAAAATATCTGATTCACCAGATGCTTTTTGTATAATAGTTATTATGAAAATTGAAAAAAAGGAATGAGAAGAAACCTGTCTACCCAATGAGAACTTGATCATTGTAGGATCTTTTTATTAGAATAGCAAAACTCAAGGACATTTACCATGTTTCTGGGATGTGGTGATGTTTTTGTGAAGAAATGTTTGTTAGATAATTATTTTGTTTAATAGCTTACCATGCTGAATATTTGGTGTGGCAAAGTTAGTTTAGTTTGCTCAGAAGATGTAAGGGAACTCTGTACCAGTGACCTAATTTTAAACTTTTTTTTTTTGTTATTTAAAAATTTCGATAGGATAAAAAGTTGATAGGGTATTGTCTCACTTGTTTATATTTTTACCTGCTTATATTAAATCATGTGTATGTCAAATTGTCCATCTCATGCATATGAGTTAATAGTAATAATGATTATATCTAATGGAATAGAAAACTCCACATGTACATGACAGTGTGAAAATAGACATATCATTTTCTGCCTTGATTTAAAACTGTGATCAGGAGACTTCTCGTAAACATTCTATTGGTATATGACTAATTTATCCTCAAAATAGCTGGCTTTTAAGTAAACCAAAGCAACTCTTCCCTTGTTACTCCCTGGATGTCCTGTCCGCAGCATCTGTACAAAACCACTCCAAAATAATATTGATTCTTTCATTCTGAAAGATATGTCGCTGGATTGAATTAGGATGAAGAGAAAAATGTCACTGTTGTCATTTCTTCTGGATCTTAGCAGGATTATAGCTGTTTAATCTACATTCAATCTCTATTGGATTTTCTCTTCAACATAAACGTTTTACTCCAGTTTTGAGCTATGATAGTATATAATATATCTCTCTCACTGTTACCATTTAGGAAATTTATTCACGATATAAAAATATCACAAAATCAAAAGTACGTTCAACTTAAATGCTAGCATATTGTGACAAGTTCAAAGAGCCATACAGTATTTTGTAGTAGATGATTAACATTTTAGTGATTCTGTCGTAGAATAGTGTTTCACGTCACAGTATACATTATATAATGAATATCTAGTCAGTGATATCTGTCTTAAATAAATATACCATACTTAAACTCTCCATATAACAAATATAATAGCACATTAATTAATGGAAAAAAACCCAAACTATTTGGTGTTTTTTTTCAGTCATATGTATAACACTTTTTAAAATAGTTAAAAATCTCTGTAGCCTTCAGACGAACACTGAATATCTTGCCTGGTAGCCATATTTGGTCTGTGCTAATCTGAAGTCGTTGCTACCAGAGTGTAAACTAGGCATTTTATCATAGCTCTGACAAAGGCTGCTTATAATGGGCTAAAATTGAGTAATTGTAAAAAAATTCACATGTCTATATTACTATTATTACAAATAAAAAGCATTTATTTCATATAAACCAGACTTAGTAGAAAAAGATCATGGAAGATCATGGAAGATCATTGTATGTTTTTATTTGGTTTTCCTCTTGTCGACCTTAGCGAAGGGCGGGCAGGAAATGACCGCGTTACTTTCTGAGTAAGAAAGCAGTAAGCCACCTTTGTTAAATATTAGTTATGAATTGTGTTGTGGTTTGGCTGTGTACAGAATCGTATGCCATTAAACAGTTTCAAATAAATGTATGTCGTTGGTGTTGTTTTTGTCTCAAGGCCACGAAGTAGTGGAAGCGAGACCAAGTTGTTGCTTTTCTGGCGACAAGACATGATGTTTTTGCATTTAAGTTAGTTTCACTGAAAGTACAAGTGCTAGATCAACCAACCTTGGACCATAGATGCATCTCGTGTAGTACATCTCAACCCATGCATCAAATGCTGGATGCGGCCTACCTTTCATGGTCCATTGGATTTGTCAGCATCTCCATCAACATTAAATATTTGCGTTCAAGTTACTTTCTCTGATACGTGTATTAATGGTCAAAGCGGGCCACAGGTGAGACATCAATCTGAATGGCTTGTTTTTACTGTGAAGTAATTATAATTATTACCCAATAGTCTATATAAATTATAATTAGTCTTTTTTGACTGTTTCTGGCTTTTTGTCCAATTTCGGCTGTAGGGGTGAAACAGTCAAAACTGTTTTCCCGGTCAGAGCGAACTGTTACCCGGCGCGAATTCGATGCATAGAAATCCCCCTTCAAGAGCCCCCTTCAAGCGTTTCGGTGACCGCCACTCGGTGTTGAAGCAATGGCAACATTGCATGCAGCATTGATACTAATATTTATTTGGTAATAGCGGCCTCGGGCAAACAGTTCCCCAGGGCTTCCCCCTACCTCGGGATGATAGATTTGACTGTTCCCCAAATAGCCATGAAACAATTGTATACTTGACCATTGTTGTAGGACCTAACATCAACTTAGCACAATTTTGTTACTTTAATTCCCAATTGACCTTTGGAAATACATATTGATGAATTGAATCTCTTCTTAAACTTTATCCATATTAGCATATTTTGAATAGTATACACGGGACAACTTGGCAGGAGTAGGAAGATAGGATATTCTGTTTGATATTCATGAAGTAATTTGGGAAGATTTTGGAACATAAATGTAGTAGAATCTTGTATGGGTGTGGTCCGTAAACGGAGATATCTGGGGGAAGAGTTAGGCTGTTAGCACAAAGATTTGCAGCAAAACTCTTACACAAGTGTTGAGATTTCCTTGTCCATGGACGACACCCATGCTTTATTCTTTATCCCTGTTCTCGAAATAAACATACCAGTTTCAACAAACTCCACATATTCATCTGTGTGTATTCCATGACTGGCATGCATGAATACAATTTTGTTAGTTTCATAGGAGTGATGAACCCTGAACACAAAATCAGAAATCCATTTAAAACACAAAGTTGACAATGTCTTTATTTAATATCCAATATCAGTTATGTCTGTTATAATAAGTACTGGAATAATTTATTTAACATGATCAACACAACAGAACTATTACCAATGCCAACATCATTTGGCGGATTTGTAACAAACGTCAAGTTGTAGCACTTGAAGGCCGTCCTTCCCAACAGAAAGACCAAAGTAATGTGATTAACAAGGACTGCATATTTGACCTTAAGTAACCTTGACTTTGGTGGCCATAGCTCTTAAAATAGGACGTGAATCGCATACGAACCAAACCATATTGACCTTGGTGGCAGAAAATCCCACCTGGATACAACACCTGAGTGACACGGATCAGAACACATCCTCTGGATAACCCCTTCTCTTCACCTTGGCTTTGGAGATGATGTTCAAGAAAAAATTCTATCGCTTCTGGATAGACACTGTTGATTTGACATTTGACCCCTGGTCTTGACCTTGGAGATACAGTTATACATCAATGAAGTTAGATGAAAATATTCAGCCACAAAAATTATGCTAGAGACAAGCCCAACAGCGATTTGACCTTTGACTTTCTCTGTGACCTTGACCTTAAATTGCATAGCCAAGAAAACTGCACCACACTATGGATATACATCTCATTGAAAGTTTATGAAAACTATTTGTTAAGCTTTTGAGGAAATTATTGCCCAAACAAGCATTACAAAATTATTTGACTTTCACCCAATGTCATGACCCAGATTTAGGAGAGACAGACCTGATTTATGGTGGAGTTTAGTTATGATTATAAAGCTTTATAAATCTTCATTGGTGTGGAAATCACAGCCCTGATAAAGAAACAGTAATGGACTAACACTGTCAAACTGTAACACAACATAAAATACAACAAAATACAACATTTCAGGAATGTAAATGTATTTATTACATGTATAAACATTAATTTGCATAAGTTATGATAAGGATTTATCACAATATAAATTTGCATGAAAAATTACAAAATTGGACATAAAATACACAGATCTTATGATTATCAAAATGCATAACAAGAACAGGATATTTTTTAACCACAATCCTTTGATCTACATGAGGGTCTAGAAACAACATATATCACAGTCCAACCTCCTTAATCTGGACTGGAATATTGTAGAAAACGGCCTTTATAACATTTTTTTGCAGAAACAAAATTGTTACAACTATTAACCATTTATGAATGTAGATTAATTTTCTTTCCAGATGCCATCATCCAATAATTTCATTTAAGAATTTCTTTAAACATGAATATATTATAGTTTAGGATATGTTGTTAGGAGTTGATGCATCATTTATATGGCTTAACCAACAAATACTTGACAAAGTAACACAAATGCAACTTGCATATTGGTTGAATAAATTTCAAATGAAAAATATTCAATACAAATGTATAGGTAATATAAGGTATATTATTATCATTATACAGCATTTGATATAGCGCTCTGTATTGGTTGTAAGGCAATTTATAATTCAAATACTATAAACTTAATACTAATAACTAATTCAGGATATTGCAGGAGTTGCTTAGTTGGACAGTAAATTGCTGGTCCTATGCCACTGACTGAATACCTCCACATGTGTCTACTTTTATGCTAGCCTTGTATCAATGTTCAGTTTTGTTGTGGGACCGTCTTTCAAACAGCATCTTTTTCCATAGTGCCTCACTTAAATGTTACACAACAGACATTTTACTAGCATCCATTCCACACCGTGTATATAACACCTGGATTAGTGAGATGAACAGGTAGGTGGAAAATACTCTTAAAATCTATGCTATAATGGCCTCGGAGACTGAACTGTGGCTGTCCGCATGGAAGACTTAAGTAAAATATTAACCATTCAGGCAAGAACTATGTAATGTTGGAAGAATTGAGCAAATGGTAAGCAAATGTGAAATGACAAATATTAGGGTAAACAAACATAGCACCAGAAAAAGAATACTACAAATATCTAGAACATACAAGAAATAAAAATGAGAACTTGGTAATAGCAGAAGGCACTCCTTCCGGCTAGCTAGATACAGAATGTATATGAACAAAATGTTGGGTTATCTTGTAATAGTTTTGAAGGCAATCATTTGAAGCAGTTAATTTTATATTTTTGACCCTTTTTATCTACGGTAAGAGATCATGTATTGAAAATGAGAACTTCCCCATTGCGCAAAAGCACTACCAGAGTACTAGCTTGATAAACATATTTGATTTGAGTAGTTATTATATACCAGGCAATATTCAATGAAATATGACAATTGAAGCCTATAAAGATTTCCTCAAAACCATCAGCCAATTACAATGCAGCATCCTCATTTAATATGCACAAATGTTGTAGAGAAGTCATAAACTAGGTACATTTGATCAATGACTTATAATTACTTAAAAATATTGTTTGGAAACAAATCTCTACATTGCCTTAGAAATAAACCCAGAGAGGTAGGAAAGGAGCTAATTGGGTGAAGGGTGCTTGTTGTGTTAAACAAGGAACTATGCGGGGGGGATCAGGAATTACTATACCTAAAAAACTGAAAAACACACAAGTTATATTTCCTACATTTCTTGATGTAAATCAACCAGTGTAATGCAGTGTAAAGCTAGGAAACAATATACATGTATGATTAATACTGAAGTGTATACAGGGTTATTTGTTGGGATAGGGTAAAATATAATTAAACAAAAATCAGGTATAAAAATATACACAAATGCCATAATTTTAGCCTTATTCAAGTAAACTATGATTTGCATCAGGCACATTTACAAATGTCATGCTCACAAAATATAGCAATCTCACACCCATAGCTTACAGTAAATAATACTCTTGACTAGTGTACATAAACTTCAGATCTAGGATAATTTTCTGAAAAATGTATGCAGCTGATGAGTACTCGTACAGCAATGTATAAAAGAAGTAAACTACTGGTTACATTTTGAAAAAAATATTACTAAATGCATGTATTTGCGAATAATATACATGATGATGAAAATATCAAACTATGTCTTGGCAATTAAGTGGCGAGTCCGGAGGAGTTATTCACCCGTCAATTCAAAGTTAACATGAGAAATAAAATAACAATTGAAATAAAACGATACGTGGATTGACTTGATATTATTAAAATTCCTTCATATCTGCCTCCAGCGTACACACACACAAGCAGACATACTTTGCACACATGGAGGCACGTCCTTAAATGACCATAGCTGTTGATTGGACATTTAACAATATAAAACCAAACTTTCATATCTTTGGTCGTTTGTTCACAAAGTGGCATTCAATGACATTTTCAGTAAAACTCCAGATTTTTCTGGAAGCAACATTTCAATTTGATTAAAAAGTCTATAAGACATAATGTAAGCACAGGTAAGCTTCGTTTGTGCTGTTTTGCTGTTGTTAATTTGTAACAAATTCATTGTTTCTTTGATAATTTGGAAGATTATTGGTCAATATTAAAAGTATTCGTTGTTTTACTTGATTATATGTTAATTAAACAAATGCAAACATGAAGCTCAAGTAGGCAACTTCACTAAGGAGATCTACCCACACACACCATTAGTCTGAGGAGATCTACCCACACACACCATTAGTCTGAGGAGATCTACCCACACACACCATTAGTCTGAGGAGATCTACCCACATGTTCACATCATCAGTCTGATGAGATCTGCCCACATGCTCACACCATCAGTCTGATGATATCTACCCACATACCCACACCATCAGTCTGATGATATCTACCTACATGCTCACACCATCAGTCTGATGAGGTTTGCCCACATACCCATTCATACAATCAGTCTGATGATATCTACCAACATGCCCACACACACCATCAGTCTGATGATATCTACCCACATACCCACACACACCATCAGTCTGAGGAGATCTACCCACATACCCACACACACCATCAGTCGGAGGAGATCTACCCACATATAAACACACACCATTTTTCTGATGATATCTACCCACATACCCACACACACCATCAGTCTGATGATATCTACCCACATACACCATCAGTCTGAGGAGATCTGCCCACATGCCCACACACACCATCAGACTGATGAGGTCTGCACACATGCCCACACACTATCCTTCTGTAGTGTTGTCTGCTGACACACCTGGTAGCATCTGCCCACATGGCCAGTATATACACTATCAGTCTGTTGCATTGAGGAGTAACTGGATGATGTCTTTGTATAAGACATTGTACGAATTAACGCCCCAGATAAAATCAAGGTGATTCCAGTCTTTGATTTCGTAACTCCCGCGAACATTGGGCAACTTTGACTGCAGAATTTTGACATCCTGTAATACAGAGAGTAAAATAATAACAAAGTGTGCAATACGAAAATTCAAAAGCAAATTCTGATTACATAATACATAATTAACCCTTTCACCACTGTAGACCATAATGGACTCATCCAGATCAATGCATGGTAGAATCTACTAACGTTACTTAGGGGTGAAAGGGTTGAGGAAAGTATAAGAACTATGCAAAACCAATAATAAAAAGTGTCACTCGCAGACTTGACAATCCTGTCTATATATCAAGCCAATTTAACATTTATTCAGGAAGCAATGTTGATACTGTGTTGATAATAAATTTTATATAACACATAATAAGATATAAAGGCCATTGCAGAGACTGATATTTACATAGTGTACAAGAGAGCAATACAACTATGGTCCATTGTGTCTTGGGAAGACGCATGTAAGTGTTTGGATTTCAATTTGTTCATGAAAGTGCAATGGAAAAAATGAACTTAATATTTAATTTTCAATTTCTGTCACTAAAAACAGCCATTGAATATTCTAATAAATATATCTACGTAATGAGTAAACTTCATGTAGGAAAATATCTGACAAAGTCTAATAGAAGATTAGATTATTTAAGATTGAAGTAGTAACGCTAGCCAAGATTACAATTTAACAATAGTTATGATATAAACAAGTAATATGACACTAGTTATACCAAAACATGCATGTCTTACAGAGCGTTAAGAAATATGAGTTTGACATTTATAATTTGACAGAAATCAACTAGGTCCTATATTACGAACCTGGGGAACAGCCAACCAGTCCTTCTCCGCCCAGTACAGCACAACAGGGGTGGTCACTTTGCTAACATCATAAACAGGGGGTGTGGCCTGTCAAGTAATCATAATGCACTTAAACATATTTATTATAACACTACAGACCTAAGATATGTTACAAAAGATTTCGTTATAGTTTGGTGTTCATAAAACAAGCCTTTGTCGGGGAACAATTATATCACAATTTTGCAATAAATGTGTTTAACTAATCTTAGATAAGTTAAGATTTGTATTGGTTAGTTTTCTAGCATTATAAAACAAGATTTACTGATACAAAATTGATGATGTAAAGGAGGGCAAATCCTTTATCACAAATTAAATTGGAGAATCATCTTTACAACAAAATGAACTCTTTGAAGCACTAACTTTTCCAATGTGAAGTAACAACAAGAGGCCAAGATGGCCTGTTGCACTCAACCTGTGGAAGCTAAGAAAACTGTTTGCAGACAAGATGAGCTTTTTCAATTTCTGTGACAAGTTGGATCCCTATTGTGTCGAAATATCTGTTACATACTATCTGACAGCAACACAATGTCAACTTAACATTCTTGACCCTTGTGAACTCCAGATTAAGTCAAAGGAAGATTTTGTATTTGTTTTACCCATCAGGGCCCATGTTAATTTTTGAATTCAGTCAGGTCTCAAAGCTTCTCTTTCATCTCAACACAAAAAAATGCATTTAAATCATGTGAACTTGAAAGTAGGTCAATGTAATTTATAGGAAGAAACTTTATAGCAAGTCTAAGGTGCCTTCTGGCCAAATATCACGACCTTGGTTCTTTTAAGAGTTGTTTGAAGAAAAACAAATTGACAGAGCCAACATACGCTGCACCATACCATACCCTCTAACACACACTTGGCGACAAAAAGTAGCTCTGGTTTAAAAAAAGTCATTTCATGGAATCATCCATTCAAAATCAATATAAGTGTAACATCTTGTTACAATGACTCCATTTATAAAGAGTTTGTAAGGGACCTTAGTAGCCTTGTACACAAACCTGTCCATAGTGCTGTTTATTGGCCAACACTGATCCGTAGTCATACTTCTGGAACTGTTTACTTCGGATCATCTGTCAAAACAAAGTGCAATAGGCTACATATTTAACTAACACATAACTAAACACAGAGGAAAATGATTTCATGACGAGTATAAACCTCCACACAAGTAAAATTGAAGCACTGAAAGAACTGAGGGATGAATGGTGGAGATGTCTGTCGAAAATTAAACAAATGTGTGTTTAGATTGGAATTGCCCTAATTTTCCAGAATACTTCAGCTCACAAAATGTACAGAAAACCAAAGTGACATTCATCAAAATGTGATCACAGGTATACTTTCCTGTGATATGTAACTCACATCTCTCATGTGATCACAGGTATACTTTCCTGTGATCTGTAACTCATACCTCTCATGTGATCACATGTATACTTTTCTGTTATCTGTAACTCATACCTCTCATGTGAGCACATGTATACTTTTCTGTGATCTGGAACTCACACCTCTCATGTGATCAAAGGTATACTTTCCTGTGATATGTAGCTCACACCTCTCATGTGATCACTGGTCTACTTTCCTTTGATATGGAACTCACACCTCTCATGTGATTGTATTACCTGTGATATGTAAGTCATCCCTCTCATGTGATCACAGGTATTCTTTCCTGTGATATGTAAGTCATACCTCTCATGTGATCACATGTATATTTTCCTGTGATATGTAACTCATACCTCTCACGTGATCACAGGTATACTGTCCTGTGATATGGAACGCATACCTCTCATGTGATCACATGTATGCTTTTCTGTGATCTGTAACTCCCACCCCTCATGTGATCCCAGGTATACTTTCCTGTGATATGTAAGTCATTCCTCTCATGTGATCACAGGTATTCTTTCCTGTGATATGTAAGTCATACCTCTCACGTGATCACAGGTATACTTTCGTGTGATATGTAACTCACATCTCTCATGTGATCACCGGTATACTTTCCTGTGATATGTAGCTCACACCTCTCATGTGATCACATGTATACTTTTCTGTTATCTGTAACTCATACCTCTCATGTGAGCACATGTATACTTTTCTGTGATCTGGAACTCACACCTCTCATGTGATCACAGGTGTACTTTCCTGTGATATGTAACTCGCACCTCTCATGTGGTTGTATTACCTGTGATATGTAAGTCATACCTCTCATGTGATCACAGGGATACTTTCCTGTGATATGTAACTTACACCTCTCATGTGATCACAGGAATACTGTCCTGTGATATGTAACTCACAACTCTCATGTGATCACAGGTATGCTTTGCTGTGATATGTAACTCACACCCCTCATGTGATCACAGGTATACTTTCGTGTGATATGTAACTCACATCTCTCATGTGATCACCGGTATACTTTCCTGTGATCTGTAAGTCATACCTCTCATGTGATCACGTGTATACTTTTCTGTGATCTGGAACTCACACCTCTCATGTGATTACAGGTATACTTTCCTTTGATATGTAACTCACATCTCTCATGTGCTCACAGGTATCCTTTCCTGTGATATGTAACTCGCACCTCTCATGTGGTTGTATTACCTGTGATATGTAAGTCATACCTCTCACGTGATCACAGGTATACTTTCGTGTGATATGTAACTCACATCTCTCATGTGCTCACAGGTATACTTTCCTGTGGTCTGTAATTTATACCTCTCATGTGATCACATGTATACTTTCCTGTGATATGTAGCTCACACCTCTCATGTGATCAAAGGTATACTTTCCTGTGATATGTAAGTCATTCCTCTCATGTGATCACAGGTATTCTTTCCTGTGATATGTAAGTCATTCCTCTCATGTGATCACAGGTATACTTTCCTGTGATATGTAACTCACACCCCTCATGTGATCATATGTATACTTTCCTGTGATATGTAACTCATACCCCTCATGTGATCATATGTATACTTTTCTGTGATCTGTAACTCACACCTCTCATGTGATCACAGGTATACTTTCCTTTGATATGTAACTCACACCTCTCATGTGATCACAGGTATACTGTTCTTGATATGTAACTCATACCTCTCATGTGGTTGTATTACCTGTGAGAAGTGGATCATATCCTGCATGGAGGTCCCGGCAGGTGTGTGGCTGATGTATACAGGTAATCTCGTCTGAAACATATAATAGGTAATATAGATCTACATTGATGCTGCTCTGTGCATAATTCTTATGTTTCAGAGTATATGCCGCCTTACCTTGAAACTTTAAACAAACTGATACTGGTTATTGCTTCCCGGTGATTATATATTTTTTTTAAACAGTTATAATGTTTCCGGAAATATATGATATATCATTAAGGTAGGATATTACAAAAGAACAGATGAGTACCTGAAACAAAATTTCAGCATATTGTTTACAACTTTCAGGTAAATTTCTTTAATGTACAATTGTAATTGCAGTTTCAGTTTTACTTTAAAAATAGTCATTTTATTTTGAATTCTTTACTCGTTAATGGTAAATATTCATTTTGTATCAAAAGATAAATGGATACAACTGGACCACAAACACTGACAAAGTGAATAACAAACTATTTCATCAAGCTGAATCAAGAACATTTTATTACACTGCATGATAAAAATGATTTTTCTACAAAATACATTTGTTTTACATGTATTTACAACTGTTTTTGACAATTATAGACAATCCATTCCATATATAGACTCATATTATTACGTCAAATGTTTCAGATTGTTTTGATTTTTTTTAAAAGCAAAACATTTTTGGGTCAAATTAATTTCTCCTATATTGGACATGTTTTGCAGTATTATGATATCCAGGCTATGCTCAGGTAGAACCTAGTCAAAGATAATATACATTTTAGAATTACTTAAATGAGTTAAGGTTTCATTAATGACCACAATATAGCACATTGTCTGAGGACACTGAATGAATGAGTCTTCAAAATAAAATCACTTGTTGAGTAATGAGAAAATTAAAAACTAAAATCAATTCCAGGAAAACAGTTTTCTGAACATTAACTGTTCAAAAGAAAAGAACCACAGTAGCACTTAATGTGTAAACTTGCTACCAGCAGTAAAAATGCTACTTAAGTTAAAAATTCTTACCTTGTTTAAGTTGTGTATGTCATAACCAGCACATAGAAACAAGATGTCTGAACACACAGCTCGGGTTACAGTTTCCTTGCATAGTGTGTCACCCAAAATCTTAATGATGAGATCATTTGGGAGGAAATCCTTCCTTCCGAACAACAAATAGGCTATCTGAAATATTCAAATTTTCAACTATCAAATATCACTATAAAGAAAAGTTTTCTTCTATCACAGAGAAAAACACAATTTTCTGAATTGATTTTAAGTTTCTAATAGAAAATTTATGGAGTTATCTCCCTTACACCATACCATGAATGATATTTGAAATGTGTTTTGCCTGAAATATGATTCATAATAGAATAAGATGGAAAGGAATAAGGTCTTTACATTTCCAGGGTAAAATACATGTAGAAAAAATACTAGACCTATCCATTAGATCTCTTAAAATTTCTGATTTGGTAGAAAAGCTGCCCAAATTGTTTCAACTTATAGTTTAATGTGTACTCACAGCTTCAATTTCTAAAACTAAATACAGATTTTTATATTTTCACCCAAAGCTTTTCGGTAATAAAAGATATCTGTGTTATTATCTCAATATCCTGTACAAACATTCTGATTACACAATTTAACCCACTCTCTGTCTCGTGTAAGTTTTTAGTCTAGACTCACTTTGCAGAGGTTCAAATACAGACAAGTGCTGTTGGCCACTCGACTGGTGATGCTGCACTATAATTCTCTTTCTTTGTATAGAATGTCAGTCCAGTTTCTAAAACTCTATGAGTGTATCTTATAAGTTGTTTAAACCTTATCACTAAAATGGGTTCATAAAGCATGAAAAGAGTACAAACCTGATCTGGGACATTTGCCAAATACTTGAGTGGACTTATGATATGGGCAGGCACTGTCACAGGTCCGAGGGCCACGAACAGTTTTATCTGGAGCACAAACACAATCAATACATGTTACATCTGTATCATCAAAGCCCATACATAAAGTTATAAGCCAAGTTAAATATTTGATCAAAGTTGTCCATTACATTTAGAAGTAACTTACAGATAAAGAACATACACTATACAGCATATTTATCATGGATAGCGTGATTAAGGAAAAATCTAAATAAGAAGGTCCTATTATGAACTAGATGCTGTATTTGTTTCTGTTGAGGATACCATTCTGTGTTGGTATTTAATCATCATATTTTGATACTGTTCCAACGTAAGTGGTCTCTAGTCCCAATAACACAAGATAATAAGGAATCATTCCTGGTATTTCATTGTACACCAAACATGTTATTCATGAATTCAACCAAGTTTGATAAATAACGTAGAACATGTGAGTCTTTGTTTAGCATGTACTACACGAGACACCTATTGACGGGTTGATTAACACTTTTTGGCACTTTGATCTGTTAAAAACTTAAAAACCTGAACTACAGAACATTGTAGTTTGCAGATTGGTGCCCTGTGATTTTCTGCTTATAAACTACACTGATTTATCAGTGAAGTAATACCACGATGGATGAAATTTCTATGAGTGGTTAACTGTTCAAACATTAATTGGTTGATTAGAATCAAACAATACCAGAATATCTGAAGTTCTATAAAGGACTATGTATGGTTTGGGCCTGTTTTGGCCCCCAAATCGTCAAAATTCATAACCTTTAAATGAACTTTGAAATGACTATTTCTTTAATTTCGAATACTTCCTAAATACTATTATGAAAATATTTATTTATATTTCTAATCATTGTTGCCATGGTAGCAAGTTCAAATTTGTATAAATTAGAAAAATTTGAATATTCAGTGAATATTGGAATATTTTGCATAGTTTTTCTCCTAGAAACTATAGAGTGCATTCTTGAACAAACTTAATATCAAAAGATAATGTGAAGGCGCCTGTAATATATCTTTAGGAGAAATATTAAGTTTGTTCAATGGTGCGCTCTATGGTAGCTAAGAGAAAAACTAGGTGAAAACCTGTCAAAATTGACTGAATAATCTTTCAATAATTTATGCAAATATGACCTGGTTAACATGGCAGCTAAAATTGAAAACACAAATAAATATTTACATATTAAAATTAAAGAAGCATTCGTTTGAAAGTTCTATTGCAGATTTTTAATTTTGATGGATTTGGGGGCCAAAAAAGGCCCAAACCATACATAGTCCTTTATTTTGGGTACAGAGCTGTAACCATAGCTGGTATACATATTATATTAATAATAAAAATATTAATAGTTTGAGGTTCTTATATAACGCTTTATCACAAACTAGTTCATAGGTTGTCCTAAAGCGGTTCACAAACTATTATCCGTGGTTATAGGGCCTTTGCAACCAGCCAGTATCTTTCTCAAGTCCCTGGGGAGTGGTGCTGCCACTTCGGCGCTCACAGCTAGCATTCAACAATTCTAGCACTGCCCAACCATGTACTCATTTACATTTACAGTAAACTGGAACAAGCAGAGTAAAGTATCTTTCTCAAAAATACAACACAGTGCTGTGCAGCGTAATTATATAAAACAGATTCCTGATGGGCCTGACACAAAGATATTCATCATTTCATAATGTCATAAAAATTGTGGTGGAAAGCAGTTCCACAAGTTTAGACAGCTGTTTTGTCATGTTGATCCAAACTCTCAATTTATAGATAGTTTATCTTCAAATTTAAAAAAGGAAAACTTGCTAAAGCTTGACTTATATTCTAAATTTGAAAATTAACTAACACCAGTCAGGTAAAAACCTAACAAAAAATCACCTGTAGTGCATGTCCTTCCAAGTATTAGAATTGAATTAAATTACAGGATAAACTATTACCTTTTTAGCTAGTTCTGGATTTTCTGACAGCATGGCAAAGTTGATCAAAGTTCCCTGGGAGTGACCGATGTAGAATAGGTTATTCTGCTCAGTCACAGTAAGTATGTGGTTTAGTACGGCCGGAACGTCGTACTTGGCCATCTCGTCAAAGCTAAAAGACACCATAAATCAGACATGAGAACAAAATGTACCTGTATGTGAACATACCCTGGTACATGTATATAGAAAAAAACAAGTCATCAATTGGCATGGAATTGTAAGCCTTAGGTTTCTAACAGAAAAATGTTTTACATAAAAATTTCATACCTGCAGTGTTGAAAATGTCTTAAAAAATGTCTTAAAAATAAATTTTACATTCAACGAAAAAAAACCAAGGTACTGCATGAATTTTGTTCATGGAATACAATTGGTTGAATTGATCATACATAGCTTTCAGGATAAGAAATCTTCCTTGATCTTGTGTGCAAAGCCATGAAAAAAAGTGAGAGAAAAAAATATGTAATTGAATTTTCTCAGTACAAACTGGACATGTGCCATGGTACACCTTCACTTGAAAATTGGAGTAACTTGCACAGTCTTCTTTTGAATAATTCTACTTCAATCTGCCAAGGGGGGAGGAGGAAATGATGCCCGTGTCAGTATGCACAATGAAAGACAACAAATCTAAAGTATTATAAACATTTGAAAAAATAATGAAATTATCCCCCCTTTGACCGCACTAAGCTTGAAATAATGCCTCTACAAAGAGTGTAAGCATCCTTGATTCTTTGATACTCCAGGGGTTACTCTCTTTTTCGCTCTTTGCACCCCTGGGGAAATAGCTAGCTATTAATTTGTCTCAGGTAAAAAAAACCCTGACCAATTGCTACACTTTACCTATCCTTTGAAGATTACAGAGGAGTGACACTCTACTTCAGAGATAGTCATTTTTTACATCATGTGACCACGATATTTTGATGTACATCAAAGGATCACACTAGTCTTCTTCTCTCATCCACAGGGTGGGGCACACTGAGCCTTTGATTCTGCTATGACATATTTCAGGGTTGCAGAGAGCTAATATGAGCGTAACCCTGGAGTGTCGAGGATGGAGTCTTAAGAAGCATTATCTATAACTATTTAAATGTTTATAATTGACAATCCAGATAAAAATCAGAATTTAGTTGCAGGAAATGAGAAATTTTAATTTATGCTACATTTTCAACATAACATTATTTATATTGATTGCTCTTCTTTAGGAGATGTTAAAATCTTACCAAAATGTCTTCCTAGCAGAATGCACTAGTATGTGACATATGCTTGAAATTATAAAATTATCTCCCCTTGGACCACATATAAGTTTACCTAGAGACATGAAAGTCTTAATTTTAAGAGGGTAATTTTGTTTTATAAATTGAAAGGTTGTTGATTTTTCAGTAGTCCTGTAATGGCTAGAACTTGCAAAATATATGCTAATTGAATTTAAAAAAAAATGTTAACAAGCCAGCAAACCATTATAACGTCAATAAAGAATGAACTGATCCTTTCCATCTAATTTCCAATAGGATATGTGGGATCTCACACAGACCATTTTGTAGATCAAACTGTCTAACCAACATTTCTGATCAAATATCACATTCTTTTTTACCAACCTAAATTCCCAAAACTTATCACAATGGGGAGACAGCTTGACATGTCTGGTAGAATATGTGTTCCCGCGGGAATTCCCCATCCATACGTCGAAACCTGCATCAGCAAGCTGGAATCCTGTAAACAGCAGGGTTATCAAAATATAAATATACAAGTTTATAAATAACTATGTTACCAACAAACTCTTAAGACATTTTCACTTTTTTCTTTACAATTTTTTTGTTTAATAAATGGATTTATCACATAATGTACTGTGTTATCCAGTGAATATACCCATGTCATATTTTTTGGCATATTAACCCATGTAATATGACCTACCAGGCAAGTGATTGGTTGTAAGTTTCAATCTTGACGTCACACCTAGGACAAGTACATGACGTCACAGACTTAGGCACTGGAGTCAAAATGGTGGCTTTTTCATTTCAAGGTAGCATAAAAATTGTCGTTTTACACAAATAAATGCCACAAAACTGAGTTGTGTGATAAAAAGGATCTTACCCTCGTTATCATTTCATATGAAATTGATGAAACTCGTCATGAATGTTTCATTTCAGCTCACCAGAGGCTCGCTATATTGAAAAATTCTAAGACTCGTTTCATAAAACTCATATAAAATGGAAACTCATGTAAGATCCTTTATCTATAAGTGACTATGGATCTAGACTTTATGGAAGATCACAGTTCAACAAAGAATTTTCACAAAATAATCTTATTCTGTAAAATACATGTTAAACGGAAGTAGTAAAATGGTTTTAAACGTAAACACTGCTAGTCAGGGAAGTAAATAGAAACAGTACAAAAATATAACCTGACAATATTATGTAGTACTAGGTCAATTTGACATGAACACAAGTTTTTGAGAGTGATGTTTCCAAAGAAATGTGCAAAATAATCTTGCACTATTGTTATGGAAGCTTTCAGTTTTTAAAATAAGAATTGCCATCATGAGCTCCTCATGACAAACTTAATTTTTTTCTGAACAGACAGTGGAACACTCTAGCAATTGAAAATTAAAAACCAGAACCTCAATGTAATTTCATGGCAAACTGTATGTTATACATATAAAGGTATCTAGTAATTGACCCTAGTGACAACAGTACAGTTTGCAGGTATCAAGTGATTATTTGACCATCAAAACAAAATTAGTTATATATGTATATCCTGTAGTTGACCTCAGTGACGATAGTACTGTTATATAGGTATTTAATATGTTTTATTACATACTTACTGAAAATTGCGTTTTTTTGTATATGCGATACGACACAAATGCTTCAACCCATATCAGCCCTCGCTGCATCACACCCCTAAACCCGTATCAGACCTCTCCGTATCAGCCCGCAAAACATGATCACATCCCTTTTGGAACACTTCTAATTTTCCCCCATCTACCTCCAACGTCATTCGGAACCATTAAGAGGTTTTTCGTTTTTTTCAAAATTTCAAAAGAAAAATAGATCATAAGATAAAAGATCTATCCGTATCTTATTAGTAAGTAAGTAATAAACAGAATAGAACATGTCTTTTTCCATATCACACCCAGTCTCGGGTTGATGCTAGGTGTGATATGGAAAAAGGCATGTATTATTCTCTAAATAAACATGTTTAGTATTTATTTGACCGAAGTAATACCAATACAGTTTTATATATAGGTATCCAGTATTAATTTGACCATAGCAATAACAATACAGTTATATATATATATATATATAAGTATCCAGTATTTATTTGACCGTAATAATAACAATACAGTTATATATATATATATAGGTATCCAGTATTTATTTGACCGTAGTGATAACAATACAGTTATATATATATATATATATATATATATTTATATAGGTATCCAGTAGTTATTTGAATCATTTACAACATAAGATATCAGGAAGGAGGAACTCAATGAAGGTTTCTTCAATTAAAACTTTATTTAAGACATCAGCTGATGTTTATTTACAGACTTTGTCTAACAGTTACTTTAATCCAGATTGGTTAATTCATTGTTGATAATCTATACAAAATTTTCACATGGCTGATAAGATATTTATAACTCTGTTTTTTATTTCTTATCTGACCAGGATGTCCTGTGGTTACTACTGACTATGACTGGCCTAATGTTTATTTAACATTGATGTGCATATAATCAGATCACTGACAAAACACAACTATAATCATCATAGATCATTGTTATATAAAAAAAACCATGAAGATATCACATTTATTTCAATATATATAGGATCCTACATCAGTTTCCATTTTATATGAGATTTATGAAACAAGATTTTTTTCAATTTAGCAAGCCTATATGGGTTGATATGCAAAAAAAATATGACATGGGTATATTTCACTGGATAACACAGTACATTATGTGATAAACTGATTTGTGACAATCATTTCTATATTATTTACATTGTATATAAATTATTCCTTTTTTTATTCAGTCTGTAATCAGGCTTTTTAGGTTTGTTTGTGTGCCTTTTACATCCGCTTCACTACAGAGTAGTTCAGTTATCTAACAGACGACATTGTTTAGGACAAACATCCAATTTATATACCCAACAGGTATCTCAATTAGATAACCTAACTTTGCATTAAAGAAACGTAGCAAAAGACCATATGATCTCACATATATTGTGCTTACTTTTATTTTGTCTGTAGTTTTTCACGAATAAAAGTTTTTATTTTGATAACTTTTATGAATCATCATTTATTTCACTGCAATATATAAAATTTCAATGGGACATTTTGAAATAAATGTTAAGTACTTAGTACCTATGTTTTCATTTGTCATTATTTTCCAAGTCTTTCGCTGGTAAATTATCCTGGGTTTCAGTAGTAGGTTATGAAATACTTGTACAGTACTAGATATACATGTTTATCATTTGTCATGATAAATTTCTAAGACTTTCACTGGTAAGGTACAATAAATTACCCAGGCTTTCATTAGCCAGATTTATGACCCAGTCAGCGCTGGTTCCCAGGAGCCCATGCTGGAGGAACACTGGAGGGCGTGGCTGGCTGTTGTGGGTGTGGTGCCTGTTGTCCCGTCCATGTGGGATTCTCTGTATCCCCAGGAGATAGCCATCCTTGGTCTCAATGGTGTACTCCTCACAGGGATAGCCTTTACTGGTCACCAGCTGGGACTGAAAAGAACAGATTCGTAATTTTTCTCAAAGGAACTGAAATCTGAAAGGAGTGTCATTTTTGAATGCTGCTGCATGATTTTGTGAAAAAGGGTGCAAAATACAAAGCTTCAAATAGTCTTAGGGACGCATATATATAAAAAATAAATAAAGATACACTATCTTGATTAAGGACCAAAACTCTTACTAAATTTACAAAGGACAGCAGGATAACAAAGTCATCTTTCCTGTTATACAGGTCCATAGATATATTTCTGTGATTATGCACTAATTCATATGCCCATTTGATGTATCTTGAATTTGAAGGTTAGGGACTGTAATAGTATTTATTGGGAAGTGTACTGAAGACATGGCTAGTCTTTTCTTATTTTGTCTGTTTTCATCTCAAATTCTCATCAATTATAGTAACAGCTGTGGACTGGGCCAATCACCTGTGATCCTATCTAGCTAAGCTGTGGACTGGGCCAATCACCCGTGATCCTATCTAGCTAAATTGGTTGGAGTATGTGTCTAATGGTTTGGGGTTTAATTCCCGACATCTGGGCCACTGGGATTAAGGGATTTCATCCCAATTTGGTCTGGAACATCCTTGGACCAAGGGGACTCAATTTTGTATGAACAGTAGATTTTGAACCCCTTGGGGCAGAGGGGTTGGGGCCAAACCTTTGAAATCCTTCTTTTATCATAGGGATTAACCATTTGCCTCATATAGACGATTTCTGACGCCTCTGCAGCAGACGGCATTTTAAAAACATATTGAAAAAAGAATTAAACGAGCAATTTCTCCTTTTGCCACAATGATTTCCACTTATAGAGATTTTCTACTTTTTGACAAAACATGCTCAAAGTCATCTGCTGCAGAATTGTCGTGTGCAGAAAAGGGTTAAGGGATTTTTTCCCATTTTTGTCTGGAGCATCCTTGGGCCAAGGGACTCAATTTTGTATAAATGGTGGGTGTGGCCCCCTTACGACAGAGGAGCGAGGCTAAATAGGGAGAGATAGAGGTAAAACCTTTTAAATCCTCTTCTACCAAAGGGATAAAGGGATTTTATCCTAATTTGTATTGGAGCATCCTTGGGTAAAGAGGACTTGATCTTATATAAACAGTGGGTGTGGCCCCCTTTAGGTGCAGAGGGGTGGGACTCAAAGGGAAATTTGAGGTTTAAATCTTTAAAATCCTTTTCCTTCTGTACCATTTGAGGAATTTCATCAAAATTTGGCCGGAGTATCCTTGGTCAAAGGGGACTAAATTTTGTGTAAACGGAGGGTATGGCCCCTCTGGATGCAGAGTGTTGCAGGGCCCAATAGGGGAATTTGAGGCTTAGTTCTTTAAATTCTTCTTCTTCTGCACTATTGGAGGGATTTTTTGTAATAAGAATAATTTCCCATGGTTGCTTTATTTTCCAGGTGAGCGATAGAGGCCCTGGGGGCCTCTTGTTGCATGAATGTTATTGATTGGCGCCTGTGGAGTAATCTTCGCCACACAGGGGTTCAGGGATGCACTATACATATATGTGCAATATGTATACAGTGATTGATTTCATTTACATGTATATTACAACAAACCCCTGTGCTTGTTACTAGTATTATATGTTTGGGAAGGGGATACCCATTACATTGTAAATCAGTGTTATCTTTGAATGCCAAACACTTCTATCAGAATCAGACATAATGATGTTCTGTATCTGAATGAGGCCAATCAGTGGTGACCAAATAGCTCAGATGACAAAATGTTTGTCTGCAGTTTGGAGTAAGTCCAAGTTTATTTATTCATTTTTTTTCTTCTTATTATGTTACAATAATTTGATCATCATCACTGCCTCTTTGAAAAGGAGTCGGCCCAACTACTTCAATTACCGATAAGATAAGATAAAATAAAATCCATATTGATCTAACGTTGAGAAGTGTATTTTTCCTCCTGGAATTTATCACCATATATGGCAGTGGTCATTATTGAAGAAATAATCGACTGATGTATGTGCATTATGGTGGAATATATAACAAGGGCTAGAAATGTGGAGGCCCCGACATCTAGGCCTATCTGTCAAAATGTCTGGTGTTAGGGCAAGAAGAAACTCGGGCTAGGGTTGATTTGTACCGCTGGTCAAAACCACAGGTGTTTGAAATTTTGACTGTGAATTGAGACATAAATCATAAAAAAAGTAATACCCTTATTTTTTATGATACATATAATTAACTGTTATCTCAATTTACAGACAGAATTTCAAACACCTGTGTCAAAACAGGTTCCAGGTTGTTTCGCCCCAAATCCCTTTCGCGCCAGGTTGTTTCGCCCTAAAACATTTTTTTTAGGGCGAAACATTGTTTGGTATTTTCTTTTCATATTTATTTGTTTTAAGTCACAAATTAAGTCTTCCTAGTCTTTCATATCATTAAAATCAGTTGTATTTAAAATAAAATGTGTTTGTGTTGTTTAAAGTACACTGTAAAGCAAAAAACGGATTACGTTATTTTCTTCACACCGACACACATTATAACATATATTAAATTTAATTTTAGAAATAAGTAAGAATAGTGAAATGAAACAAAAATGGTGTAATTTTAAAAATTGCGGGGTATACATTAATATTATTTTTCCATGTTAACACATTTAGTCTAGTGTACGGCTGTACGCATACTCGTCGCCGTTTTACATTTATATAAAAATGAATATGCATATTTGAGTAGATAATTTTGAGTAGATGACAAGTTACAAAATGCACAAATCATCCATAACATAATTTACGTTATGGATGATTTGTGCATTTTGTGCGACTCCGTGGTTAGACGCAGACAGGATGGTATCTGATGTGATGTGTGTGACCGTTGGCAGCATAGAACCTGCCAGACTGTTAAGTACATTATACAAGTATATTTAATGTATTTTGATAATTCCCTAAGGAAATTGCCAACGTTTATTTCATAATTAAAATGTACACATCTGCTTAACAATTAAAATACGTATCTATGTACTTGGGGAATTATTTACATTTCGTATACGTCTCTAGAGAAAGTATTCATTTATTTTCATTCGTATACGCAATTAATATACGTATGTAGTTTCAGTCTATGTACGCAATTTGTACCTAATCTATGTCCATTTCGTATACGTATCTATGTACTTAGAGAAATTAATTAAGTTTCATTATATGTCCATATCTTATTTATATATTATAAGTATTGTACTTAGAGAAATTAATTTAGTTTCATTATATGTCCATATCTTATCTATATATTATAGATATTTATAACTAAAGTATTAATTTCTTTTTATTCTTATACGCAATTTAATTTTAACTTTTAACATGATACTTATGACTTTATGAAAACAATATTTTTTTAGGGCGAAACAACCTGGGGCGAACGGGATTTGGGGCGAAACAACCCGTTACCGTGTCAAAACATGTCATATGGTAATTTCTTTTCAGGAAGTACGAACTAGTTTAGCTCAAATAAATATGTAATTTTATCTTGAGAAGGCTAGATACCCATGCACACAAACTTACCACATTCATGAAAACTTCCGGGTCTGAATGTATCCAGTTTCTGAGAACATTCGCAACCATTTCCGACTGAAAACTTTTACATGTTCCAATAAGGGAACTGACGGACAATCCCAAAAGTAGGAGATTCATGATTACTGCGGTATTTTACTAAATATTAAACAAATCACGATAATAACGCGGTATCGACATCAAACGAATATGTGGAGTAAATTTATCCGGACCCGGTCATTGTCACATGTCACTCAGTTTCTGTTGCTGGATAGCCTTACCGGATGTAAACATTGAGAGAAGGGAAGTAACCAAACCACAAACTTCCGAACATTCGACTTGCTAAAGCCCACAATTTATCGATTTTTTTTTCAACGATTGATAGCAAAATGGGAATGGTTGATGTTATATTGCCTTTTCGCTTTACTAGATATGAGCTGCATTTTGATGATTAACCTTGGTCAAATTTCACTAGTTTAACCATGGACTTATATATATAATTATAGAGCACTCACTCTCAATCTCATTAAAATCAGATGTTAATAAAAAAATACCTACGGCTATTCATAAGGTACGTAATAATGAACAGCTGTATTTATTCAGATTGAGAGCACTCTCTAATTTAATTCCGTGGTTCAACTCTTATAATAAAGTTCGGGACCTGAGAATAGTCATGATAAATATAGAGGTAACGTTATTTCCCTACATTATCAGTACAATGTAACATGTCAAAGAAAATAGAAACCATATTTTTGGTTCTATGATATTTTTCTCTGGTTTTATAGACTAAATATCATATTGCTATGGAATAGTGTACATTCTAGCTGTAAATCATTGAAGCGTTTTACACAATTAGAGGAACACCCAACACAAATACATTATTGATCAGCACGTGGCAAAAATGATTCCCGATTGGTTGTGAGTACTCAGAGACATATAAATCCATTATAATATAGCATATACATATCTGGTGTACTGTACATTCATATTACATTTTATGTCATTTTTGGTTGACGGCAAAAAACCTCCGGCAAGTAAATATAATAATACATCCAACTCATGATACAATGTACTATACATTGTACCGAACGTGACTTCATTCTTACGCTCACAGTGTATTTCTGAAGTAAGTAGATATTAACTATTCAATAATACCGGGCTAACACACACCTAAAGTCCATACTTGAGAAAAGCATGTGTGTGAAAATAATAGAAGTAATTTTTGGTCGACTATGAATTCCGAAATGTACGTAAAGTAGCCAAAATGTGTCAACATATATCTAAGCAAGAGGCATCATTACTCCTGCATGCTAATTTTGAAAGACAATAGTGCGCTTCCACCGGAGATCGAACCAAGCGACCCAGCTTCCTTGCCCACCACTAGAACCGATTGAGCGACCGGTCACCAACTACCCCCTCTTTAAAAAAAAAAAAAAAAAAAAAAAGCGTTCGCTCATGAACACCACAATAACCGAGGTTCTTCATTCCTAAAATCACCACAAGAAGGGCTATGGACAGAATTTGTAACATGAAAGTGTGCTTCCATTTTGATGATTTGCATGTTCAATGTTTTTCTTGAGATTGCTTACTCAAGAATTTGATTACATTTACCTTTTAAAGTTTTAACGACTCAAGATTACAATGGTAAATCATATAAGGTTTGGAACAGTCTTCCAAACGAATTGCGGAGATGTGAATACTTCCAAGAATTCTGGAGGCTGGTTCACACCTGGGATGGCCCCATCTGTACATGTACATGTTCAGTCTGTACAAAGATGAAGGATTGATTTTTTTGGTTCTTATTTCTCGTTTTATTGCTCCAGAAATAGTTGTCATGCACAAGTTTTAGTTCTTAGTGCTGCTTTACTTTCTTTTGTGTAATTTTTCTTTTATGCTGTAAATTCCTAAATATTGTTTCATAAATGTATGTACTGTTGTTTTAGATTATGCTATATTTTATTCTGTCAATTTTTAGTTTTTGCCATATTGGCATATATGTACATTAGACTGAAACGTCTCTTAAGTTAATTTATATGCTGCATGCGTTTTATGTTCGTATGACCTTTAATCTCCGTGCTATTTTACTTTTTATTCAACCATCTGTGATGCATGCTACCTTTGTGATATTTAATTGTTTCTATTAATTATGATTGTTATATATAGTCGTAAGAATAGCTCTTCTGAGCTAATGTTGCATTGTTACAAACACGACTCTAAATAAAAATTCTTGTATCTTGTATCTTGTATTGTATATATACAAACATCCAGACTCGGGTACAACGGAAATGCCCGAGTGGTTTTCGGAATGGAACAATTGGAACTGTGACGTCATATTTACATTACGTCACATCCGTATTCATACGACGTTTTAAAAAAAATGGAAAGTCAGTAAAAGCTCTTCGAGAAGGTCACTGGAAAGGATCCGCATCTTCCAACATATATAACCATGGAGAACTCTAAACAGACATAAGATGTCACAAGTCACCATTTTGGTGTCATTGCTTTTCATCTTCATCGGGTGAGTTAAAATATTTATGAGTCCTAAATTCTAACACGTACGTTATTTTTCTGACTTCATTTTTTGTCTCATATTGATGACTTTTTATTGAGATTACACTCGTATAATGCAGATAGTATCCCACCGCTATCTTTCTCTACTTCGACTCTTTTGCTGACTGCGGAAACGAACTCAAATTCTGTAGGTGCGGCGCTCCAGTAGAAAAAATATATAGAGAGTTTTCGTGCGCTCGCGTGCATGCAGTGGTTGGAATTTTGCACGAATTGTTCAGCATCCACTAGCACGGAATTATTATTTCAATGATAATTAGCTGGATGTAAAACGTTTTAAGACTTTTATGGGATACGTCCATGAAAAAAAACACCCGGAAATGTAGACTATCGTAGACCATGATGTGTTCTGACGAAGGAGAATAATGGATACTGTAGCTTTGTAAATGAAACCACACTTAATCCATTAAATAATAATTTGGTGTAACGAAGGAAAATAATTTTCTATTTTCCGACTTCACAGAGAAGCAATAGGAGAAACAACATGCCGATTACATATATTGGAGGATGCTGAGGAGGTGACGACAGGGGAGCGGTTGTTACACTTCATGTTCTTCCCGTACACGTCACCAGAGAAGGTTAATTATCAACTTTGCGAAACATCACAATCAACACACTGGCTGTTAAACTGGGACATCTGGAAGGAAAGTCTCTCAAAAATGATCGGCAAGTAACTTCAATATCCGACTAGTCTGCAGCGTTTTGTTTTTATCTTTATATATATAATTTGCAGCAAAGATGTCAGCTTAGACCTAAGCTTATGTCTAAGAATTTTCAATAACTCGTTTTTTCCGGGATTTTTTCTGTTAATAACAAAAGCGTGCCGTTTTGAGTAAGCTTACTGATTAGTACGGTCTGTGCGGAAAAAACAATGTAAATCCCAGTCAAATGTTCCATATTATTTTCACTGACTACCGATTTTAAATATAAGTAAAAAAGAATCAAAACTCAAGTTAACGGTCATTTTATTTATTGTGACACGATCAATATGACAATCGTTCCACATGTTATAGATATGCATAAATACGTTTTATTGTCATTATAGCCATCTTTGCAAAGAGCATCCGAACAACCGTCACGAATTGGCCGATGCCTATTGGAGAGGTGACATTTTACAGCTTCGTTATCGTAATGGTCGTCTACTTCACTCTCTGGATAGCTGAGTGTTACCGTGAGCTAATCATTTTACATTTATAATCATTATACATATTAAGGTGACAGTAACCAAATCGGATCACCAAACCATCATTATATCAAATCATTGAAAAATCAGAGGAGGAATTAAATTCATTCATGGATGTATCAAAGGAAGAATATCGATGGGTGTTCTTACAAACGAAATTAGCACACAGGGCTCACTTGAGCTATCAGCATTTCCGTTTTTTGCGAAAGTCAGGACGCAAATCGGATCAAGGCTTGAATTTTGCAATTTCTTACACTTCAAAAGATTTTTTTTTTTCGTCGGCATATTAACATTTTATGATGATCTTTACAATTTATATGACAAATAGTATTTCTATAGGGTGAATGTATTCCTATAGTCCAAAATAGAATGCATAGTCGTCGCACGCGCTATTTTTTTTTAAAAACGTTATCAAAACACTGACATTTAAGTTTGAATTACGTTCTCTGACCAGTACTTACTGAACTTAATAAGTGTAGACAAAAAAATGGTGCATGGCTATCTATTCTAAGGCTACATCATTATTATAACTGATTTGTTGACACATTTATCGATTTATAAGTATTTTTGCAAAAAGTGATCCGATTTGGGTACTGATCCAATTTGTGTAAGTACTGCCTCCTATAGCATGCATACACATACGCCTTTCACGTTACTGGGTTTTCGTTAAATAAACTGCAAGGGCATAGCTTAAAACACGGAAATAGAATCCAACGGGAAAATGCCGCAATTTGAAACTCTTCAGGCAAGAAGTTGTAAATTGCCACGAACTTTTGAAAGTTTGGATTTTATAACTTGGCTACATTGTGTATACAAAGGTCTTAAGAGAATTTTTCTGGTTTCTTGTTGAATATCAGACAGTGGTTTTTTTCATTGAATAGGAAGAACACTTTGCTATCTTAAGGCAAAAAAAAAACCCACCCCACATATTAAATTTTAATGACACATAAATCATGAAACTGTTTTTATTGCTGATGCAATTTTGAAAACATTAGAATGAAATGATTGAATTTTTAACGACACACCAAACATTGATAAGTCGGCGACAGCCGGAAGAGTTGACATTCATGACATTTGACATTTTTGAATATGTGGTTCACACATTTAAGACATATTTTTCATTTTTATGACATTATTAAGGAAGTTCTGTTATAAAGTAGTTAAGTACTTCACTGTAAATCATTTAACCATCTCGCCACGTGTAGGGTTTGGGTTAGTTTTATTTAGTTTAACGTCCTATCAACAGCTAAGGTCATTTAAGGACGTGACCACAAATGTGTTTTGTTTGCGCCACACGTAGGAACGCAATTTAATTTTGGTAGCTGCATAAGGCTAACACAAAGGGAATGTTACTATCTCTTAAACATGCCTCTGTTTTATGACATTTAGATTTGTTTACAGCACGTAAGGCTCCAGGTAAAGAAACAAGTGTACATCCAGGGCGGAGGAAATTAAAACACCGCAATGGGGATTATAAACGGGACAAATTAAGGTTGCTGAAAGCGCAGAGAACAAAGTCCGGCATTTCGCCCAAGCTAATGCATCTGCATAAAATGAATTACAGCCTCAGCAGCTTGGGAAAGAGTGAATTGAAGAGTCAAACACATATCTCATACAGATATCAGCCAGTGTTTCATAGACGTTCACAGAGGTATTCTGACGAGAAATTACCGAAGTACATACTCTCGGATCTGTTAAATGATGGGACGCTGCGTGAAAAGAAATGCGCCGAGTCAAAAGGTAGGGAAAGGAGCTTCAAAGATGTCAGAGAAGAAACACTCGAAACATTACTGAAGCGGAAGTATGATGTAGGTAATAATCAAACTGCACAATCGATATCTCCAGAAGTAAGAGATGGAGGTGGTGGTGATTTTGTTGGCGGGACAAACATACACAGTATCGGACGTCCGTGCGCTAGCTCTAGCTTCATATCTAGTTTTGATGCCGAGATGATCGATCCTGCTGAGGTCGACAACAACGGAGAAGAATTTATTATCGAAAATAATGGAAACTTATCTCAAGGCAGTTTCAACGTAAGAAGACATCTTTACCAAGAAAATGAATTAACTGACTGCTCCCCTAGACACCGCGAGCCCCTAGACAACAGTTGGACGCTTCAGAGCTTCAGCGATTGGATGCCTACCCCAAGCTACCTCCCGAACACCCCTAATGACAGTTTCCTGACTTCATTTGGCGCCAGAACTGATCGGAACATGGTCTTTGACGACCCTGGAGATGAAAGTGCCTTGATTACGACTATGATGGACAGCTTTGTCAGTGTTTCCGAAAGTCTACAGAAGACCTCCACGTGGTACGGAAGTGACGACATGGTATGTTAATGAGGTGATGAGTTGGATGAGAAGTTGTGGGGTTGGGATATTGTAATGTAAAACTTAAAAACTGTAGAGTAAAATGCCCTGCATAAACACCACGGGTCCATCGATTTTCGACGGCGTCTTGATTATCTTGTCACAGAAAGAAATGGCTTTCAAGCTGACATTTTATAAAGGCTGACTAAGTCCATATCCGTCTTTGTGGCAGCTATGCTACTATGATGATTGCTAATTTAAGTCTGATCCGTGATTAATAGCAATTAATATCGATAAAGCAACTTCATTTGATATGACAAACGGTGCTACATTGTATGTCGCTTGGGACCACTTGTAAAAAACATCTCAACTTTGAGGAAAATCTCAAGCAATGTGCTGTCTTTGGGGAATCTTAGACTTGGTCTTTTAATAAAAAAAATATTTCTAGCTCTATTGTGTTGTGCAAATTACGAAGATTGTTTTTTAAAATGTAAGTAAAATGTCAGCTTTTCAATTCCCCGGTCCGAAATACCTTGTATATGTAATAGAATCTCGTTCTTAATTCCAGGAGATGTCCCTGTTCCAGTGGCTGTCAGCTGTCATGGTCACCAAGAGACTTGCTCAGAAAGCCTGGACGTTATTGATTGGAGATCCTGATCCCAGCCCACTATACACTTCTCCGCCTCCTCGCACTGTTCCTCCGATCCCAGCGGCAGAATCTCCAACGTCATTCTCCCCCCAGTTTGAACCAACGCATCAACAGTACTACCCCGACAGATCTGCCTCGATATTAAACGATGGACTGATCTAACGATGAAATAATAGTCAAGTTTTTATACGAAGTTAAAGATTATCCAGATTTTTGTTCTTAATATGTTTTGCATGCTTTAACTTCTCTTTTTAAGGTAGAGGTTTGTAGAAATGGGCGTACTAAATTAGCAGAGGTGAAACTGTGCCTTTAATTCCAGCTGTCCATTTGGGATTTACGAATCGATATCTCATACATAAGTCTTGCTTTTCAAATAGTCAATATATATGCTATATGAATAAAATTTTCCTCCGCATGAATATCCACTTACTCTATTTTGTGACTTTAATACAATTTTCATGGAGGTAGAAAAAAATCTATATTAGGTTCACATAACTACATAATAACCGAAATGAAAGTCTTCAATTTCTATATTATAGATGCTTACTGATTTTTAAATTATGATAGGCCTACAAGATGGAACATTTGTAAATTGCAATGAGGAAAGTTGTTGCATTTGACAGAGAGCATTGGGGTGTGATAAATAGAATATTAATCTTCTGTTTCTTAAACTTTTAACATCGAATCAATTTCATAAATCACCAATATCAACTTGATTATGACCCAACCAATGCGGATGTAGAAAAAAGCTGATATATCATGCATGGTAAAACAAAAGTTAAAAAAAAGATGATGCGTACAAACTTGATAGTTTTAACATTATATAGACATCAATAAGAAAAACGAAAAAAATAGGAACTGCACACGATAATATTAGACTAGGATGAAACGCTGACGTCACACGAGGATGGATCGGTCAACGTAAGATGTTTAATGTTTAAGGTGATGAAGTTGAGACGAATAATGAAATTAAGTGTATATTTAGTTGTCTTTAGTCACTTTTGGCCACTAAATAACAAAACTGCATGAACATTCATTGGTAACTGTGCTTTCGAATTACTGAAATTTTAGTTATTTATTTGGTAAATATACCTGCTGTTTGCCCAAAGTTAGTTCAAATGGGTTAAAATTTCATGTAAATTATCTGTAAACATAATGTCTGGATTCACTTATTTACATGTTGTAATTGAATATCCAGATCCTCATAGTTCCAACCATTAGCATGAGTATATTGAGTGGTATAAATATTCGATTTTTATGATCTGAAAAATAGTATCGTGTTTTTATCGTTGTCAGCCGTATTCCGTCTTTGCGTATTGCAGAGTTATCTTCTCTTGGGATCAGGTATTGATTTTTACGTGATTTGTTTGTGCGAGAAAATTACGTTGTTTTCTCTAAAATCGATGACGTTACTCTCACAAACAAGTGACGTAACAATCAATACCTGCTCCCAAGAGAAGATAACTCTGCAATACGCAAAGACGGAATTGGTCTCCGGTGAAATGGAAATAGATTTTCTGGCCCTAATGCAATACTTACCTTTTTCGGCTTCTTTTGGCGTCCGCCTTGGTATGGCCCTGGTCGTGGTAAGGACGTATAACCCGGAACAATATAAAACACTCAGGCTTATTTAAGTTTATGCATGAGTGAGTTATAATAATAAAGTACTATTTGTTTATTCAAATTGATTATTAGCAATTGCGTATGTAGTTACAGCTTCCTGTTGGCCCCCTATTTCATTGGTTTAGCCTAACTACAAAAAATCCCCTAAATTTTCAACCCCCACTAATGCAAACTGTCTACCATTGGAATGAAGAACATCACACATGCAGGTATATATTTATTTATTCTTAAATCACACTACAATAATGTTTTCTATCTGAACGTGAACTTTAGAACGAGTATAGTGAATCTGGGATAAAAAAAATACTCAAAAAATCCTGTGAAATGATAATAAACTTAACAATATTGTAATAGAAATGAACTTTATTTATTGAGGATTAAAACCTGATTTAGTCAAAGGCTGATCCCACACAGGGTCCTCTAGAATAGTTAATCATTTAGTTTTACAACGTATTCAAAAAAAAAAGTAATATAGACTAAAAGTAATATAGATTAAACGTCGATATTGAATAAATGTGGTCTGGAGCATCTTTAGGACAAGGGCACACAATTGTCTGAAAACGGTGGGTGCCCCCCCCNAAGCATGAAGCATCCTTAGGCCAACTGGACTTAATTTTGTATAAACGGTGGGTGTGCCCCCTGGGGTTAGAGGGGAAGGACCCGATAGGGGAAATAGAGGTAAAAGCTTTGGAATCCTTCTACCATAGGGATTAAGGGATTTTATCCCAATTTGGTCTGGAGTACCTTGGGCAAAGGGGACTTTATTTTTATATACATTGGGCGTGGCCCTTTTGGGTGGAGAGGGGCGGGGATAAAAAGGGGAATTTGAAGTTTAAATCTTTAAAATCCTTCTCCTTTTGTACCGTTGGAAGGATTTTATACAAATTTGGGGCCAAATATGGGAAATAGAGGTATACCTTTAAAATCCTTCTACCGAAGGGATAAATGGATGTTATCCTAATTTAGTTTGGAGCGTCCTTGGGCAAAGGAGACTCAATTTTGTATAAATGATGGGTATGGCCCCATTGCGTGCAGACGGGCGGGGCTAAAAAGGGGAATTTGAAGTTCAAATCTTTAAAATCCTTCTTCTACAGTCGTCTGGAGTAATCTCGGGCCAAAATGACTCAATTTTGTATAGACGGTTTGAGGGGGAAGTGCAATAGGGCAAATAGAGGTAAAACTTTTTAAATTCCTTATCTACCATATGGATAAAGGGATTTTATCCTAATTTCGTCTGGAGCATTCTCGGGCAAAGATGACTCAAATTTGTATAAACGGTAGGTGTGGCTCCTTTAGGTGCAGAGGGGTGGGGGTCAAAAGGGGAATTTGAAGTTTAAATCTTTCAAATCCTTCTCCTTTTGTACCATTGGAAGGATTTTATCCAAATTTGGCCTGGAGCATCCTTGGGCAAAGGGGACTAAATTTTATATAAACTGAGGGTGCGGCCCCTCTGGGTGCAGAATTGTGGGCCCAATAGAGGAATTTGAGGTTTAATCTTTAAAATCCTTCTTCTGAGCCATTGGAGGGATTCTATGTATTATTATCCAGGTGAGCGATACAGGCCCTCTGGTCCTCTCGTTATAAATGCAGTACACTGACTTTCCTAAAATAGTGTTTTGTAAAACTGTGTGGGTGTACGTGATAACGGCATACCATGCGATAGCCTATGGTTACATATGTACCTGACATGTAAATATACCATGCGCTAGCGGTCTGTGGAATGTCCGATTTTGTTTTCAAGTAAGACATCTCTCACCATGATCAAAGTGATTGTAAAATGTAAAATAAATTAATTTTAAAGATATTGTGAATATTTTATTTAAGTTTCCACTATTTTTGTATGAAACGTTGTGTCCTGTTTGCTTTTATCTTGAATATGATCACTTTTATCCATACAATTTCAATAAATAAACTTTGTGTAACATGTTTTATGTATTTTGTGATAAAGAAATTATTCTTTTCATTTTTTTTATTGTTATTGTTCCGAACAATGCCACACACCTAGACAATCGAAAATATTAAAATTGGCGAAAACCTCATTATTTTTGTATTTTTTCCCCCCAAAAAACATAGTATATTTTCATAAAATCACCTCTACATAGTTCCATAAACAGTATGTGAAAGTTTCAATGAATTCGGTTGGTTATTAGCGAAAGGGTGAAACCTCCTTAAGTTAAATAAGTAAAACAAGTACTGGGTCCTGGAATAAATAAGAAAATATAAATAACATAGATAGGAGACTAGGAATTTGTAAAAAAAGATATTTTGTCAATATTTTAACTAAAACCAAAAAAGCAAAATAATAATTAATAGCGAAATAAAACTAACAAAAACAACCATAGAGCAAGCATTACAGGTAAGAATGAAAAACGACCCTAGCGCTGCACTTATCATCTCGAGTGCTCTACATAGAACTAAAAATCCTAAAGTATGGAACAACGGTTAAAGGGAGATAAAATAAACAAAAATATTGCTTAATGCAAGAGTTATTTCTTTCATCTTAGAACATGTTTCATGTAATAAACACGATATATTTTTTAATAGCTGATAAACATTTTCAATATTTATATTTGTAAATATTAAATTAAAAAAACGCTATTAATTTCTATAGAGAAAAAAGGAAAATTGTATTGATATAATTTAGAAAAAAACATTATCTAAAATATAATTCTTTTGATATTATATTGTATATGTATTAAAATTCATTGGCAATGCTCCAATATGCGTTGGAAGTGCGTCATGAGTTTGGCATACGGCCAATTTGATTAACCAAATGTTGGTTCGTAGCCAACTAATCGAATTCCGTGGTGTTTAAAAAAACCCATTATGACATATTATCTGACTATGGGCAAGAACCCTTTTTTTTCAAAGACATGGTTTAGTCACAAAAACGACAGAATTAAAAATACGCGGTCACAAGGCTTTTAAGAGGGGTTGGGGGTTGGCGGGTCTTTAAAAAAGATCTAGAATGATACAGAAGGGAACAAAAGGACCGACCTCATGCCATTGCAACGAATCGAGCCGGTTGTCCTTACTGATGTAACATCCTCGATATTCGGGGGTTACGCTGTCTTTCGCTCTTTACACCCCTGGAATAGGCACGAAGATAGCTGTTTGATCGGTCTCAGGTACAAAAAAAACCACCTGACCAATCGCTAGGCTGATACCTGTCCTTTGAAGATTACAAAGGAGAGACGCCCTACTTCAAAGCCTGTCATTTTTTTACCGTTAGGTGACCGCGAGATTCTTCTTATCAGCGTAACCCCTGTATTTCGATTAGCGTTTTCGACTCCGTTACCCTGGACTTTTAATCTATAAATTATCATTATTGCAACGACTTTATAAATACATTAGTGTTACGGTCACACCTAGGATTGGCGGCGTTACTGGATATCTTTTTAAAGTACAGTAAACAGAAAATATTACATGCTCTAAGTTATATATTTTACTTTAAGACACAGTAAAGGACTCACAATTTTGTAAATATTGCTTTAATTTGAGCATTTTTAAATGGAATAATCTAAAATAATAGTATTTTTCAATTACTGATATATATAATGTCTAAAACTAAATGATAACTGATAATATTATCTTATAAGGGGAAATAACTCCTATCTTCACCTTTGACTTAGTTCGTTTATGATAGCTGGTGTTGTTTGAGCTCCGTCTACGTCTCGTGGTGTTATTATTAGCAACAGAAAAGGTATGTACAATGTTGTTACCATATGTAATTTGATAAACCGTCATGTTAAAACTTTCCAGTAGAAATAGATTATAACCACACTTTCAGTGT